GTAGCGTTCTTGCTGCTAGTAGTAAGGCCAGGAGCCCCTAGTAGCGTCCTTGTTCTTCAGAGAACTCCGCACGTTGCTGCGCTGTTGCGCTCTTGTTTTTGTCTGTGACGAACATTCGAGCTTGCAAGGTTGTCATACAGCAGTCTAGTTGCTTCTGATGTTATTGCACAGATAGGATAGGTCGGATAGGTGTTAGATGGTGTTAGGCATTTTTAGGATGTCCTTGAAGGATCCTGGAAACCAAGATTTCAGGTTCTGAACTTGAAGCAGAGAGGACACGCCACGCAGCGGTTTGAGGTGATTGCTGGCGGTGTGCGAGAGGCTTTAGGAGAAGAACCTCCAGTTGATACACCCTTGACTGAGCCGAGAGCTTAGCTTTGTGCTGAGCCTGACTTGGACACTGAAGGCCCTTTAGACCCCAAGTGATCCTTCTTTTGTCAGCTCTCTTCAACTAAAAGCTTCCATAGCGTTTCTCCCATATACACAGGAGGATTTATTGGATTTGTGCATGACCTGATCGCTCCTGGACCGAAAAAGACAAGATCAAATCCGGCTAGGCACTTGGCCACAAGAGTGCTCTGACTATGCCAATCAGACAAGACTGGACTACTGGATACCCTGATGACTGAGATGACTCTTGAATGAACCCTTCTTCCGTAATGACTCCTATGTGCCATGTGAGTGACAGCGTTCCAGGGTTGGCCTCGACAGCTTGGCGGCCGCCAACCTGCGGAATCAGCTACAGAGCAGCTTCGCAGTGAAGCTCCCGGGTACCTTGCTGCCCCTTGACCAAATTAGGAAAAAAAAGGCCATTGCTATTAGGTTGGAGGCCATCCCTCTTAGGTTAGAGGTCATCGCTGTTAGGTTGGAGGTCATCGCTATTGGGTTGGAGTTCATCGCTATTAGGTTGGAGGTCATCGCTCTTAGGTTGGAGGCCATTGCTATTAGGTTGGAGGCCATCCCTGCTGGGTTGGAGGCCATCGCTACTAGGTTGGAGGTCATCAGGTTGGAGGCCATCGCTATTAGGTTGGAGGTCATCCCTGCTAGGTTGGAGGCCATCGCTCTTAGGTCGCTACTAGGTTGGAGGCCACCACTATTAGGTTGGAGGTCATCGCTATTAGGTTGGAGGCGATCCCTAGGCCATCGCTACTAGGTTGGAGGCCATCGCTATTAGGTTGGAGGCCATCGCTACTAGGTTGGAGGCCATCTCTGCTAGGTGGAGGCCATCGCTATTAGGTTGGACGCCATCGCTACTAGGTTGGAGGCCATCTCTACTAGGTGGAGGCCATCGCTATTAGGTTGGACGCCATCCCTACTAGGTTGGAGATCGCTACTAGGTTGGAGGCCATCGCTATTAGGTTGGAGGCCGTCGCTATTAGGTGGGAGGCCATTGCTAAAGAGAGTCGGAGTGCCATGGGTCTGTATCTGAAAAAAATGATGAGGGAGTCTGAGGGAGGCAGAAAAACGAGGTACAGTGCACTGCAAAAAGGGAACAACATTTGCTGAATGGATTTCGGTTGTGGGTCCTCTTCTGAGAGTTGCTGCCTCACAATCTTTATTCCCAGCTCTACAATCTGGTTTCTCCTGCGTGCTGCGAGGTTTGAGCATCCCTCCATCTCGGAGGTTAGTGCCTTCGTATCAGAGGCAATCGCGCAAAAGTGCCACGTGGCAGTTCCTGAAGCATCAGGATCTTGAGATAGTTTCCTTTCTGACTTGTGCATTTCGATACATTTTGTGCATTTCTATTTTCAACAGTTCCAAGAAACATCACCTTGAGTGAAATACAATCGATCGCAGCCATGCCATACCCATGAGTTGGGGGTTGGGCGCCCGTGAAGAGCGCGGGCGATGAAGATTCCTAAAGATGGCGTGGAGGATCTCCTCTACGAGATCATGTGCCACGGCAGTTTTCAGACTTCCAGTACTCGGGTTCCAAAAATACATCACACGGACGAGCTTCCAAACTGCACACACTTAGGTACTTCTCTCCAGTGGAGCTTGGGGACGAGCGGTACACCAACAAGCTCTATTTTCAGACAGATTCTTGTGCTTCACTTGACCTCTATGAGTTCATGGTCGTCTGAGAAAAGAAAAGACCCACTAGCGATGGCCTCCAAAGTAGCGACGGCCTCCAACCTAATGCAGCATGTAGAATACGGATAGAGGGAACATGTTGTGATCAACTTGGTTGTGTATTCGTGACGCATTGATGTGCCTCTCCTTCAAGGAGATCTACCACCGCACATGGCCCACACTGATGGCAGATCGAATGTCACACCAAATTGAGAAGCTCAAACACTGTGAGATGGGCATCGTAGCCTTTGATGACGAATTCAGGAAGACGCATCGTGAGGCTGGGAATTGTGAGCCGTTTCTGAAGAGGTGACCTCTATTTTGGGTCGAGCAGCTTCAAGCATTTGGACTCCACATGCGTAGTTCGCAAGGCCGTGATTGGGCACTGCAAGATGGCCTTGGCCTACCTTGATGCACGCGAAGCACGCATTGCCATGAAGCTTTGTGAGCACCCAAACTGCAGGAAGGGCGGAAGGGCGGAACGCCATGGAATCATCGACAGGATGTTGGAGTAAGCAAAACAACCATGATACAAAAGAACAGAGGAATACGCAATTGGAAGGGCGGAAAAAAACCATTACCCTTTTATCTTACTAATGACAAAAGAAGGCTGCTTTATTGAATTATGCTTCCTGCCTTCCTGCCTTCCTGTTCCTGTTCCTGTTCCTGTTCCTGTTCCTTTCCTTTCCTTTCCTTCCTCAGCTACGAGTTCGTTTTGACAGTCCATTTTTGAACTTGGAACCCTTCGGCACATGTTCATACGGTCTACCGTGTCGACCGAGGCAGTGCATGCCTGCAACCAAATCCTCTGAGCCCCGACTCCAGACGGATCCGAACGCGGAATTTGACTTCCTCAGGCCGGCAATCGGACGAGCCTACGGTGTCAACTGTAGCAACCCACCAACAAATGACAAATGTTCCAATTTGCGAACTTCAAGTGATGCCTTCGCTAAGAGTGCCAGAAGTCCCACTGGGACGCGGCTTTCTCAGGATCATTGCTTTGTCAGTGTTGGCCTGTGCAGCACGTCGTGTGAAGTTTTTCCAGAAGGCCATCGATGCTTTGGCAGAGGCGAGACAATTCTCAAAAAAGCGGGTTCAGTAGGAATTAATTGTAGTCCACCCAACTCAGCCCTTTGTTTGAAGAGCTCCATGTTTTTCTACTCTGCAACAATGGGTGTGACACCTTCGCGATCCTATTCAAATGCCATTGTGTTGAGCCATAGCCACTTGTAAACCTCTTTTGTTAGGTCTCTGAGGTCTCTGGTGATAGAAGCAAGATGTAAAATGGAGCAATCATGTCTCCAATGCCATTCTTTGCAGCAAATATGTGTAAATTCGGTAGATCGATGAATTGGTTTTGTCGTTGACTGTACGGCTTGAGGGTGCGGCAGACTTACCGCTTTAATCCGCTTTACTTGTTTGGTGGATCCGGCAGCCTTGACTTGATATCTTGTTCATCTTCTCACAAAAGGAATAGCGGAAGCTTTGGGGTGTCGTAGCCTACCGCACCGTGGAAGATATGAGCGGATGGGACAAGCCGAAGTGACGGATTGACCGGACGAAAACGGATTGACACAAAAAGCGAAGTATACACAAACACTTGATTAGTTGTTTGTGAACAGCTTCTTGTTACTACTAGTAAGGCACTTGTTACTAGAAGCGATGCACTTGTTTCTAGTAGCTTCTTGTTACCTCCCGTTCTCTCCTTTCTCTCTCCCCGAAGCATTCGTCAGTGTTCGTCATGTCTTCTCTCCAGGCGAAGAGTTTGTGCCTCGCGGGCGGCGATAGCATCCAACAGCACCCGCTGCTGATCGTCCCATGGCGTCGAGTCGAGTCCGTGACGACGTGTCGTGCACTGAGAGGTTTTTCCTTGTGCACCTTCGGGATCCTTCGGGTACGTTTGGGCACCTTCTGCGCCATAATGGCATCGAATTGCAAAATTCAGAAAACCCATCGCCATAGCTGCTTGAAAACCCAACAACGGTTGTTGTTGCGATTCTATGACGATGCTACGATAGCATAAATGCAGCCAGACTGGAACAAAAGAAGGGCATTAAGTCAGCCAGCCCTGCTCGAACCCCCATTCCACACGAATCCATCAAGTTTTAGCCGATTTGCCCTCCAGCGGTTTGATGCGGTGTTGTGACTCGTCAGCAGTTGCGATGTTTTCCAGCTTCGGAAAGGCCCTCACCTTGCTGAATCTCTCGGCGGTCTTGGGTGACATCGACCATGATGAGCATGGGCTTCGTTGGGGCTTGGAGGCCACTTCCCTTGCAAGTCTCAGACGACCAGTGGCTCAGGGTCCGTAGCCAATTCACTGAGAGCGGACTGTTTGAGTGATGGGTGATTGTTTGAGTTCCCTCTTTCTCGATCTGTTTTTGAGCAAAAGAGATGCGGACGCTGCGGACTGGGTGTCCCCCGATTTATGAAGTCAAACACAATTATGACTAGGGGCTCCTGGCATCGTTACTAGGAGCATTCTTACTACTAGTAACAAGAAGCTACCAAAGCCACACCTTTGGTTGCACCTCGAGCTAGTGAGGACTTTGTTTGCCACGAGTCCTGCTACTTGCTGGCAAAAACTGCCATGACAAACCGTTTCCTGCACCCCGAGCCGAAAGGGACCGAAAGGTTTGTCGGTTGTGAGTCAGCCTTGGCCATGATGCTACTAATTGCTAGAAGCTACTAGTAACAAGGGCATTACTACTAGTAGGCTAGAAGCTAGTAGGTTGGAGGCCATCGCTATTAGGTTGGAGGCCATTTATACTAGTAGCTAGAAGCTACTACTAGCGATGCACTTGTTACTAGTAGCGATGCCCTTGTTTTTGTCAGAGGCCTTGGCCATGATGTACAATCTCTTTTCCACTTTGGAGCTTCCAGAGATGGTACAGGCACTCGGCACTCAGCACTCACGCGTGGTTCTGCGCGTACGGAGATTGCATACCTTTTAGTCGGGCTGGCTTGGTGCACATAAGCTTGTCCGACATCGAGGGTCAACCGAAAATGGGCCAAGGAATTGCAAGGGAGTGAAGCTCAGAATGTTCATTGAACTGTGAGGCCTATTACCTCTCCCTGGCATGTCACAATGCTGCGCTACTCAATGTGAAGCTGGGCCGCTGGGGTGATGCACAAGAGCTGGTGGATGAGGGCATCGAATTCACCAAGGCATGGCTTTGCTGGGAACGGCCTTGAAATCTGATTGGATGACCCACTATTGAGACCATTCACATCACTCACCGTTCATGATCTTGCAGTGTTTGCAAGAGACTTTTGCGAAGTTGGAAGGGTCCGAATTGACCTTAGTCCCCGAGACAAGGGGTGCTCAATGAGACGGATGCAACTCGCCACACCCGCAGATCCTTGGGGAGAATGATGACAACTTGCGAAGCAAGCTCATCACCATAGGCCGCTGGGGGTGCAAAAAGTAGGCAAACGCTGATCAAAGCAGCCTTTTTGAAACAAAGCCTTCAGAGTTGTCTTTGCTTACTATCCTTTTTCCTCTTGCAATTGCTGACGACAGTCTGTCAGTAACCACAATGTGCTGAATTACAAATTAGCATGCAATTGACCCCAATTGCCAAAGTCAGCACCCATCTCTGCCGTTTGGTCAAAGCGAGCAACCATGAAAGAAGCAACATTTTGTGTACGTACTGTCTAGAATCTTGATATGATATGATATACAGATGTCAGTCTAGAGGAGTTGCCGTCAATAGGGGACATGTCCAAAACGCTCAGCTTCTGTCAGGCGCTCAGGCCAAGCATGTGCCGGAGGTCTTCCTGGCTGAAGCCGTGAACGCGCTGAACGGCTGGAGTGAGGACTGGGAGTTCGGAGACACCTCAGGCGATCCAAAGAACTCCATAAGACGATCCAATTCTTAGGACCATAGGATGTAGGACCCACAGCAAACTATGGGCTTTGTCAGTGTGCTCATTCATCTTGATGAACACACTGAAGATGCTGAACTGGGGTGTCCCAGGCCCAAAGTCAGAGAAACACGCTGCGGCCTATGCCATTTTGCTTGTGGTTGAGATGAGATGAGATGATGAGATGACACATTGTTTATTTGTGGACTGACAGGTTCAGGGTTGATAGAAGGAGGGCCCAGCTGAAGATCTGCCAGACCTGGATTGACCTTTGGGTGTCGGGGCCAGCTGTGGTGTGAAGGCGAAGCCAAGAAGTGCTTTGGAACTGCCTGGATCAACCGCCGCTCTGCCCTGATTCCTCAGGAGAGAGGCGTTTGGAATCTTAGTTTTTGGGACTTCAGCCTCTTTGAGATGAAGGAAGTCATCAGGCCAAGATCAAAGATGTCGTTCCTCATGGTTTGTTCAGAACGGACACTTGAATGGCTGCCCTGTATTGACTGCTTCCATCAGAAGCAAATCCACTTCTCAACGTGCAGGGTGCTTCAAAGCACCTTGACGCTGAACAAGATCATCATCGTTGCTCGCTCAATGGGTTTTCTTCAATGAAACTTTATCTCAGCACGGAGGGCTCATCAAAGTTTAATTCCATCAAGTTGGCAAGAGCACGTGGGTCTTCATGGCTTTATTTGTTGTTGGACTTTGACATCGCAGAAGCCTTCATCCATTTTCCAGTAGTATGTCCTGAGCGCTTCTTCCAAGGACCAAAAAGATGATGATAGGCCAGTTTGCTGGCTAGTGTGGCTTGTTGTTGGTAGGCCTTTTTGGACATGGGTTACCATTTTGGGAGAAGCTCGGACCGGGAGTGGGCTACTGATTGGAGTTGGCTCCGAATGAGCAAAAGTGAGTTGACGGCGTGCCACGCTCCGTTTGTTGACCTGGAGGCGTTACGAGAGCAGTGTGGAAAACATTCACTTGTCTGATCTTATGAAGGCGGTTTGGAGCCTGAGATTGCGTGCAATTCGGAAACGTTGAGTTTCAATGTCAATTCATTTTTGACCAAGGATCAAGAAAACAATATTTTTGTGTCTCATTGTTTGGAACTGTTGCTTCTCAGCGTGAGAGAACTCTGCCGTTTGCCATGAGGTGGTAGGGTGCCACTGCTTGGAAATCATTACCATCGCAGGCCCTCAGTGACTGGCAGACTCAGAAGCAATATCCGAACCGTTCTGTTTCTGTGAGCAAGCATATTTTAAGCAAAGGATTTGGACTGGACAGAACAGTTTGCATTCTCCTTTCTCTCTGAAAATCTCGGTCAGGCATCGACTTCTACCCAAGAAAAGCAGTGAGCTTAAAGTAAACATTTCAAAAGAAAGCAGAAAGGACACACAAGGAAGAAGGACAAAGGTTGCTAGGCCTCTTACCTATTAAATCTCCGCCTAGGTGTGGCGCCGTGTCAAGAAGCGCGGGTTTCTAGAGACCAGATGGTACGCACGGAACCCAAGAATTCGAGATGTGCACTGCTTCATCTTCTTTCCACTTCAGGCATCAGATGCCTTCATTGACTCCGTAACAATAGAGAAAGAGAGAGAGAGAGAGAGAACACCACTCATGAGCAATGACAAAGCATTTGCCACGAAATAGAGAGGAAGCTTGCCCCTGTTGAGGTATTCTTACAAAAAAGCTGTTGTTTTCACAGAGACAGAGACCCTAAAATAATCCTATACAGTGTTTGTGTGTTCCGAGCCTTGTCCACTTTGAACACAAAGCTGGTCCAGTTGATTCGTCCAGCCTCCAATGGTCAACGAAAAACGACGAATCACCTGCATCACAGAATATTTTTTTTGACTGTGTATCCTTGTCACTCTACTTGTGTCCGACTTGTGTATTTGTTTCTTTACTTTATTTGCATGATTTCACAGTCTTTTCGGACGGACGGAAACACAGAAAAAGATGTCACATGTCGGTCGAGGTGAGCGGTTCGGTGTTTGAGGCCTCGGCTCTGAATTTCGCGGAGGTCCTAGGTGGTGCCCAGACACCAGAGACAGGCGCGGAGAAACTGGAACCGGAGAAGGAAAGACGAAGCAGAAAGAGAGGCGAGTAGCAAAAGGTAAGCAAAAAGTAAGCTATAGTAAGATAAAGCTGCGAGGTTGGAGGCCATCGCTATTAGGGTGGAGGCCATTCCTACTAGTAACAAGAAGCTACTAGTAGCATAGCAAGTCTGGGCGCCGAAGTGCCCAGCTTCTTCAAGAAAAGTAACAATACGTGCTGACCGATAAAGACCATCGATGACCATGGCACTCTGGGCCACGGGATCTATGAGTTCCCAAGGCCCCTTTGATAAGGCCTCACAATTGTATCCTAGTCACTATGTGCAATTCAGGTCCAATTGATCCTGATGCTATCGCCCCCTAAGACCAGAGAAAGCAAGAGCACTTGACAACACTCATCTCTCAGCTAAGACTACACCTCCGGGTGGAACCCCATACCCTTGCTCCATCTTGCTCCGCTGGATGTGGAATCTGAACTAGATGGCTTTTCATTCCGCAAACGGTGTTCAGATCTCTTCGTCTTGAGGAAACTATGACGGTCTGCTCTTGGAGTTGAATCACTTCATGAAGAAGTGCGGCAGCCGATCGCAGCACACAGCTCCAGTATTGAAGATCTATGTTCAAAGTATTTGATTTGGAATTGCAATAGTTTGGATGGCTGGAGAAGCCGAGAACCATAGTTCAATTCCAGAAATGGATTCCTTTGGATTTCTGCTGCACTTGATCAATCTTTTGAGTGCAGGGTGGCAATCGCCTTGTTGGTGGTGGCCAATGAGCCGGAGCCTTAAGACCGGAGCATTCGATCATCTCCCTACTTCCATTGGGTTGCAATCCGTTCACCCGTGGCGAGGACAGAAGGCATCAACCTGTCCAACAATGGCCAGGCTCCAAGCATCGAGTCCGCCGGACCTTTGTTTTCAGAGTGCATGTGCAAACAGAGCCCCTAGTAGCTTCTTGTTACTAGTAGTAAAGCCAGGAGCCCCTAGTAGCGTCCTTGCTCCTAGTAGCGATGCCAGGAGCCCCTAGAAGCTTCTGTTCCTAGTAGTTATGGGACAGACTGCAAAGAGGCTTCTTCCCTTGACCAAGGAATTAATTTGACCAGCATCAGCATGCTGGTCAATGCTTTGAGCGACGCTGAAAGGCACAACACTTGGAAAGGAGTGACAGACTTTGACATTTGCCCCTTCGTCTTTCACAACTTGGGACTGAAACTCTCTTGGTTCTTCCACCGTCTCAAAGGGAGGGCACCATTGCAAACACTTGGACTTAGTGATTTTGTGCGGGAGACCACGGCTGGGAAGAGACGTCCGAACGCTTCTCTGAAGACTTCCACAAGGCTGCCTCGCACGCGTCCGTGTCGACAGCTGATTTTGCGCAGCAATGACATTGGTGTCGCAGCTGTGTGGAGACCTAAAGCTTAGCCCTGCTGTGGTTTTGAGGTTTCAAAGACTGAGATCAACCTGAAAATCCGCTTCAACATTTGTTCTTTGAATCAATTTAAGGGCTTACGCCCGACGGCCGGCCAGGCGCCCCCACATGGGAAATGGGAAATAGGAGGGTAGTGAAAGGGAGAAGGACGGGAGAAGGAAGAGTAAGTGTTGGTGCGGGGATTGTAGTTGTAGTTGTATTTAGTGGTAATAGCGGGGGTTGTAAGTGTTGGTGTGGAGGTAGTAGGTGCAAGTACGGAGGTGGAAGTGGTGCAAACGCTGGTGAGTATGCAAGTGGGGTGGAAGGGATGGTGGGAGTGAAGGTGGTAGTAAGTGGTGTGAAGGTTGTAGGTGTATGTAGTTGTGGAGGTGGAGGGTGTTGGAGTTTCTGTAGGGGTAGGTGGTGAGCGTAGTTCCTGGCGTGGGAGTAGGGTGGTGGAAGGAATGGTTGGAGCAGTTGCGGAGTGGCGCCGCCGAGGTTGCTGCGCAGACGCAGAGACGTGCGCGTTCTACGCCGTCCAAACGTTTTTCTTTACAAAGAGCTAGCAAAACACACTCTGGCATGGGCCTGGCGGCCTGCTGTGATAGGGGGCGGAAGTTCCTGCCCAAAACCGTCAATGGTTTTGATCCTCATGAAATCTGGCAGAACCACTTTGGCGGCAAAAAGAATGAGGTCAGAAGAGCACGCTACAAGAAGTGTGTATCCGGAAAAAAAACAGGGCTAACAAAGCTGGTCACTGCACGGTATGCAAAAACTACCAGGAAACAAGACCATTTCATGCATGCCCGAACTGCCCAGGGCCAGGCCACGGCCATTCGCTGTCGTTGTCCAGCCGTCACCACGCCGAAGCGCGATCATGATGCGGTCCAATCCAATGCACTAATGCAATTCTTGGCAGAGCTTCTGGGATTGGATGGAGTTGGGGCTTCAATAAATCTGGGACTCGCTTCTTTTCAAGATTTGTGGTAACACTAACATGCGTTTAGTGTTTCCTTTGTTAACATGTCGGAGACGGAGGGTACGTAGGGTTGAACAGTCTCGGGGATTGAGTTGCGTTGGCCACGGAAGCTTCAGCATCTTCCAGCCGATTGGGGACGCCTTGGGACGCTTCGGGACCGAGATAAGGTGGAGTATTTCTCCGGTGGAAGCGTTTCGAGACTGATACAAATACAGCATGCTTTGTGGACCTTGCGCCTTTTCTTTTTCCCAAATACAGCATGGGACGAGGATTCTTCCGCCCCTAAAGCTGAGCGAGATCGAGGGTGCTTACCACGTGGAGCTCTGCGGCGCGGTGAGTGTGGCCACGGTAAGGACGAGCAGCGAGGCGTCGGCGTGCTGCAGGCGGTGTTCCCGAGGATTAGCGTCATGTCTCTGTTTTTCCGCAGACCGCGAAAGCGCCAGAAGTCGTCTGCTGACACAGAAGAAGTCACACCCCTGGAATAGGGTTTGACACCCACAGACACTCCACGGTGGCAACATCAGCGTCCACACACTTCGCGTTTGACACCGCAGCCTTGTCGACTCCTCGCATCGTTGTGCTCTTTCTTCCCAGCCTTCCTTTTTGGGCGGTTACGCCCGAGCAGTGCCGTGCCTACTACGCGCGTCTTTCGACCGCGTGGCGGGGCGCGCCGGCCAAGCGCGCCAATGCGTATCTGACTTCACACCTCCTCTTTGCATAACGTTGCTATCTGATGGCGGGAGCAAGTCGACTTGCTATTTGCCGGTCTATTTTTGGATGGAAAATGCTTTCCAAAGCCATCCACTCAGTGCCTAACTAACGTCGCTTTAGCCAATCTATTTCCGCACAGAAGATGCTCCCAACACCCCCAATTCAGTGCCCGCTGAGGGCGGTAAAACATATACTTCCAACATCCCCTCCCGAGTAACAAGAGGCTACTAGGAACAAGTGCATCGCTTCTAGTAACAAGTGCCTTACTACTAGTAGCAAGAAGCTTCTATTTGCACTTCCAAAAAGAGCTTCTTGTTACTAGCAGACTTGTTACTAGAAGCGATGCACTTGTTACTACTAGCGTCCTCTTGTTACTATACTTCCAACATCCCTCTCCCCAGCCTGTCCGACAGACCTGTCACCTCAATGGCCGCCGCCACTTCATCTCCCTCTCCTGAGCCTGACTTCCGGTGATTCTCTCACGCGCTCCGCTTGTGGGGTCGGAAGACTTTTGTTTCGTGTGAGCAAGCACAAGACCAATTTGCATTTTAAAAAAAACTTGTCATGGGGATCAAGATTTGGAAGCTTCCAAGGCACAAGAGCTGGCAAAAATTTGGCAGCTTGGCAGCGTCTTGCAGGTCCAGGGGCGTTCCACAGGTCCTCGACTTCCTACCAACAGAACTGGACAAGGAAACTGTTCGCAGTTTGTTTTGTTATGTCACTACTGGCATTCATCAGGAATCTCGAAAATACCTTTCACACCTAGGGATGCGGCTGAGCCGCCTGTGGAGGAGGAGGTTCGGCAAAATGAATTTGAGCTTCTATGTTTCAATTTGTTTGTATTGTTTGAGGCTTGTTGCAACCAATTGGAACCGCATGATTGATAAACTCGTGAATAGGGGTGGGAAGCTGACCGCCTAGACATGTTCAGGGAAGGGGCAGTTTGCAAAGAGGATTCTGGCGTAATACTTTCTCAATCCTGGCAACGGATTAAATCGAAGCAAGCAATCTTTTTGTTGTAAAATTGTATTTATTTTTAACCCTTATTCAACAAACATGTCGTGTTGGTTTCTTTCAACTAGTGTTTTTTACTCCTTTTACGCTGCTTTGCCAGGTGTCAAGTGGCTCAGATGAGTTTGCGGATGAGGATGAGGCTGGTGTATCCGAAGATCAGACGTCTCAGATATTCTCAGAACAGGAAAGGCAACAAGACCTGAGTCACAGATTGAACGCCCAAATAGGTGTCTGTCAGACACTGTCAGACAATGGTTTGAGGAATAGGGGAAGGTCGGCAAGGACTCAATGTTCCCCAGTAACTCAATCTCTATCCTTCGAAGGTTTTATACACACTTTATTGCATCCCATGCAGTAGCATCATTCTTATGACTTAGTTTTTTCTATTCACAGCCTACCGTGGGCTACCCCCGAAATAAGAGATCGCCACCCCACCCGCCCATGGTGACGAGGATCGCGCGCAGGTTTGCAAGTGCTTTTCAACGTTAGTGAACTTCAACTTTCCGCCCACCCCATGGTCTGCAAGCGGTTTTGAACGTTAGCATACCCCGACCCACCCCACTCCACCCACCAACCTAGCCTGCTGATGGTGATGCTGGTCGATCGCATTTTTTTGTGCAAAAACAGGAGTTCGACCCTACGTTGGAGCCTCCGGAGAGAGATGACTTGATGGGCGTTACATCGTTGGACGTGTCTGAAGCCTAGCTTTGCTTGTGAAGACGACTATGATTAAAAGCATGTCAAACTATATGTCAACTAGGGGCTCCTGGCATCGCTACTAGGAGCAAGAACGCTACTAGGGGCTCCTGGCCTTACTACTAGGAACAAGAAGCTACTAAGGGCTCCTGGCATCGCTACTAGGAACAAGAAGCTACTCAGACCACGTCGACTTTTCAAGCCATGGATTTGGGATTCTGCCTCCTCCAATATCTTTAAGCCAGTTGACTGAAAACGCTGGTGGCCTAAACAATACTCAAAGGAGCCCGTATGAAGGCAGTGCTTTGGAATGAACCCATCACGATCTCTGCCGTAGCATGTTGGGAAGGCCACAAGAGTTGAAAGGTTCTGAAAAGAGTTCCGTAGCGAGAGAACTTCATCGCCATTAGGTTGGAAACCATCGCTATTAGGTTCCTTTTGCTATTAGGTTGGAGGCCATTGCTTTGTTCCAATGAGTTCCGTAGCGAGAGAACTTCAGAATGAGCCCTCCTTGGCCTGGCTTTGCCAAATTGCGAGGTCTCATAACACAGCCATCGGGGACGAAGGACTGTGTGTTTCAAACGTTGTGAATTGGAGAAGCTTCGTTTGGATCAATCGGCCGAAAAGAGATTTTCGGAGAGCTTCTATCAAGAGCTGCGTGTCTGGAGGATTCCAGGCGATTGTGCACGGGATCTCCCGGTACAACTGCTTCAAGGTGGAGAGGGGGTGCTGAAACGCTAGTTGGCCTGCGGTTCGTCCCCTGAAAAGCTGCACCACTGACCGGGTGTCCTGAAGACCTGTTCTACTTGATTGGGCGGGAGCACTTTCTCATCCGAATGTGATGGTGGACCTGCAAGCTAATGTGACGCTTCCGCGGCTCATAGCAACGCTCAAAAGGCCGTGACTCACTTGCAAAGGTTCTCACTGCCAACGCCATCAGCTGGGAGCCAAAAGCAACTAGTAACAAGGGCATCGCTACTAGTAACAAGGGCATTACTACTGGTGGCAAGACGCTACTAGTAGCAAGGTGGTGTACTGACCAATTTCGCATGTATTGATGTGGCATCAAGGCCTTACTGCTGGTGGCTGCTTGATGGAAGGATTGGAGCAAACGAGGCGTCAAATGTGGGTGTAGCAGTGGGTAACCCCCGTCATCACAGTTCCAAGATGCTTTGATGATCTTTGATGTATTATAGAGGCTTGGGTTTCCATCCCAAAGACACACTGCTTTTGCGATCCGAAGATGGAAGGTGTGGTGATGAATGCGAGGTAGGGACACACACGCTCAAAGTTTTGAGACTTTGCACGATCAGGTTGGACACCTTGAGCTTGAACCAGAACAACTTGGGTTGCGAGGGCGTCACAAAGCTGTGCGAGGTCCTCGCCAGGTGGACTCTTTGAGAGAGATCTTTCATGTTTTGAGAGCTTCCCAATTGGACGTGTCACAGACATTTGCGCAGGGTATACTTTCAGATACTTTCAGTACATGTCTATATTCCAAGGTTTCTGTACCGAAAATAGAAATTGTTGCAGCCGGACCGTCCTTGCGTTTGACCGAAGGTGTGCACGTCTTCGTGTCTTGGAGCTCGAAGGATGCGGCATACAGCAGGAGCGAAGCTAAAGACTAGAATAGACTAGAATCCAAGAGGACATATTCGGACATATCGAGCATGTCTTCGTTTTCAAGTCTTTAAACAGCATCTCGCAGGAGGGTGCGAAGGCCTTGAGAGAGCTGCTGAGGTGAGCTCTTCCGAAACGCAATATGTTTCAACAATCTTGATTGTCTTGATTTTCAGAGAAACCAAATTCCAAAACAACCGACTTGGCCACAGGAGTCACTTGAAACTCCAAGAGATCTCAGTGGCACACAACAAGTTGCTTGGCGAAAGTAGTTGGTAATATTGGTAGCCTTTGGATGGTCGTCTTTGGTCTCGCTATCGCATACGGTAAACACATACTTCTCTCCAATCTTATCTCCAGTGCATTTCATCTGGAGGCTTTGTGATGCGGGTGCCATTGAGTTCTGCTCTGGTGTGGCGGAGTCCTCCTTGAAGAGCGTCAACTTGGAGCCTAAGCAGACAGAGATACGGTAGAAACCGTGCCCATTTAGTTTTGGTTGAAGTTGGTCATCGTTGGGTTGCAGAATTGAGAGCCCTTTTCATTTTGGCGTGTGGTCATTGTGGCTCTCGACATTAGAGTGTTCTATCTCAGCTCCGCCTGTTTGTTTCAATTGTGGTACTGTAGTCGCACCGTTGTGAGCCATGATAGCAAATCAACACCACAGGTTGCTTTCCACATCCAAAATTGGGCCTGTTTAGTTTTGATTGACCCCTTTGGCTAGCAAGAGTCGCATTGCACTCTCGCCTAAAAATCTAGGAACCACATGAATAGCGTGAGCTTTCCTGTGTAGTAGCTACCTATTGGACCTATTGCTAGTAGCTTTGGCGCTTATAAGCTACCTCACGGCCCAAAAACAGCGCAGCTGTCTCCTTCGGTCCTGTGTTTTCTGCCGAGGCTTACAATGAGATTGTCAGTGACGCGGCTTCGGAGTCTGTCGGAGACATGATGAGGTGCGGACGCAGACCTGCTTGACACGTTTGCCCTCGAACTTGGCTCCTTTTCTTTGATCAATTTCTACAGTTTGGTGCTACACTACATTATTGCATGATGTTCCATGTTCCATGAAAGGATTTTCTGATCTTCTGAACTCTTCAGAGAACCCTTCGGGCTATGCGTTTCTCGCTTGGATTCAGGAGCTGCCACAGCTTGCTAAAGCTGGTCCTCTCAGGGAACACCTTTGACCACATGGGCCCTTCACACATCGGTGGGGAGCCTGGGCATGTGTACAAGGTAAAGAAACATTGTGTAGGCGACAGAAGAAAGATGAGGTAAGCTCAAGCTCCCTCAAGAGATGGATTCTTCAATTACTGTAAGCAGTTTCAGTGCAGAACTTCAATGCTCAAAACTCCTACAAGTCTTACGTGTCATTCTTGTTGGGAATGCTGCAACTTTTGCCAACCGACTGGTGCTTCCTGCCCGTGTGCCTTCAGGCAAGGCAATCGAGCACAGCCGCGTTTTAACTCTGCAGCTTGAGGAGCCTGACTGACGACCAAACGATCACACTCGCACTGGAGAAGTTGCTTTAGACATTAACTACCGATCTTTTTTACAAGGACCGACATTTTTACAAGGGAACCACCCGAACCACCCGAGGCTGTGCCCTTTGCTTTTGTATTGACTCACACCGGAGCTTGAGCAAAAGACAGCCCGATTGTAAATGGAACAACTTTATTTGTGAACCTGAAGCTTCAAGACCAAGAAAGCAAAAGTGCAAACGCCAAGTAGTACTGAAGATTGGACAAGCCGAAAGTAGTTGTGCACAGATGCCGCAACGCACAGAGACCCTGAAGGGAACAAAAGAAACTCTGACCGATCGAAACCTGCAAACTTCAAGCCAATCCTTGAGAAAGGTGAGTGTACTGCAAACCACAAGGATTTAATGACAGCCAACCCTTGACGAACACAGATAAATCTGATGCGGAAGCATGCAACCCGAGCAAGCAAAACAGAGACGCCAGAGATCGCCAGAGCGTCTCAGTCTGATGCCGCGCCCGTAGTCAACTACTGAGAGAACATCTCTTGGAAGAGACGCGGGACGTGTCGGACGAGTTACAGTATGTTGAATCTATCCAGAAAGACGACGGCCATCTCGGAGGGGTTTAGGGTGAGTGTTTAGTTCTGACTTCACAATTTCCTCAAAAGGCCTGCACCATTTCCAATGAGCCTTTATTGGATTTTCAAGGATGTTTTTCATCCTGAAACGTGTCTTCAAGGCAGTCCCTTTTCAGGAGATGGGCTTAACTGCTGATTCAATGATGGACTTCTTAGACCAAGGAGCAGCCGAGACTCAGGACGGAGTACACGCAGTGGGTGTCATCACGGTGTCATCAATGTGTGTTTCCACCCACTTTTTGAGGACCTGCAAGAGCTTATGCTGAACAAGAATCCTATTGGAGATGAGCCTTGGAGGTCAAATGCTCCAGGGTTGGCGTGGAAAGGTAGACCTCAGTGTGCTCATTTCTTTTTCACGTCCAAAGAAGACTTGAGCCAAGGAGGGTCTGGCCATTATTGCCGAGAGCCGGAGCACTTGGAGAGCACGGCGCGGATGTTTGGTGCGGTGCAGCACCAAGGTCTGAGCATCGGTCTGAAGAACCTGCGGATCTCGCATTGCGGTCTCACTCACAACTCCCAGGCAGTCAATTTCGTTGTCATTTTTGATTCGGGGCTTGGAATTGTCTTGCGCACGCAATCCTTCATAAAGATTAGTGATTTCCTTTATCCTTCAGGGTCTGACGATGTCTGGTGCCACAGCAACTTCCAAACAACTTTCTTGGCTCAAAGACTTAGCCATGTGCAGGCTTTTGCTGTCTTGACCTCTTGAAACTTCAGGTAGAGCTGTCCTGGGGAACCACTTATGGACCCTTTGGATCCAGAATCGAATCAGGATTGGAATGTCCGGGATTTGGTGGGTCGTGCTGGGAAGCTGGAGCTCCTTTACTCAAGTGCCTTGCGCACAAACAAGGCAATGGTAGAGGAAGAAGCTCTGCAGGCACTGGCGGATGGTGACTCGAGTGACTCTGGTGCAGAGTCCTTACCAGAGCTGCCTCTGCGAGAGCTTTCAGAAAGGATACAAAGACGGTCCTTGCATGAGAAGAGGATGGACACAATCCGCGCTGGAGACCAATCGTACAAGGAGATGCTTGACAGTGGAAAGTTGAAAGTCGACAGCATCGACTTCTTCTCCCAGGTGAATCCCGATTGCTTCAATGTGAATGGCCGGCCGTGCAAGCCGCAGGTCCGATTTCGACCGCCGCGGCCCGGCGACGCCCGGCGTCGGCCACATGTACCGCTGGACCAGGACTTCGATTCGCCGTCGGAAGATGAGGAAGAGCCACAAGCACAAGGGTCGCCACCTCGTGATAGGCGGAAGAAGCGATATGAAGAAAGGCATGAAGAAAATCAAAGGGGTGCTGCTCCTGAAACGCAGATGGGGCAGGTTGAAATCCAAGAAAGGCCTCAACAGGCAAAAGATTTGTTAGCCTTGCCGGATGTCCCTTCAGGATGGCCATGTGGTCCACATTGCTGCATTGAGCACTGTCGCAACTTTGCGAAAGCACTGTCTGATTGTTCCCTTCGGGAACTCGCTACCAGCTTCTGGTCATCCTCGAAGGTTGTCCCGGTGACAAAGACACGCGGGGTATTCAAGGCAGACGGCGAAGAGCTTGCAGTGGCTGAGCTCAGGGAGGTGCGGGAATGCCAAGTGGCAATGAAGGCCTACAAGCCGAGCACCCGTGCGCTTCAACGTGCATCATGATGTGCATGTTCAATCATCATGTGAACTCATGTGTTCATGGAATCACAAGGGCGTACATTTCGCTGGTGAGAATCTCTTTCTTTAGATATAAACCAGCTGCTTTTGCTGTTGTAGCCATTACCACAATTGGCAGCAATCGAGTGCCGATTTGGTAATCAGCTGCTTGTCCTGCTCAACGTCGCATGTGTGCAGTCAGTTCCTTCAGAATTGCAGTCCGACATTTCCTAGTTTTACGGAACATTTCTTGTCTTCGAGCTGACTTCATTTGCTGAACTTGACTTTAGCGTACAATTCGTGCCCACAAGAGGCTGTCACGAGTGCACAGGCGATGCTGTGCTCCTCTGATTCAAAAAGTCTTGCCAGACTGTCTTTCTTTATTCTAGGGTGGTTGCTAGTAGGTTGGAGGCCATGGCTATTGGGGCGAAGGCTTGATCCACATTTTCTTGCAGATCCATGTCTTGTCCATGTCTGTCTGTCGACTTCTGTATCCTTGCTCAGCTCCAGGCCATCCTGCTCAGCCTGGTGTCGTTGTCCCCCAACCTTCAGCGTCGCTTGGCGGAACCCGAGGCAAAAGGCAAAGGACTTGTGGAAGCGGCCATTCTTCTCGTTCCGAGGGAATGCTTTGTGCTTTGTTTTTGCACAAGTGATAGTGGGGAGGGGGACATGGGGTAGTACCTGTGGGTACCTCAAGCCCCTCAGTAGAGTGAGCATTTCCAGGTCCGATCTACAAATTCCGATTTAGTCTAGGATGTTGAACACGAACTGCGAGTGAGAGTGTGCTTGGAAGCACCTGATCAGAGATATGGACTTGTAAGGCTTGGATTTGTCCTACAACGACCTGGGCCCCAAGGGATGTGACGGGGCTGCAGATTGGATTTGCCAAAGTTGAACTCCTCCCGCTGTGCTTTGCACATTACGTGTTCCAGGTTGTGTGTGTAAACATCGCTTCATTACAGCATTTGCTTTGAGAACTGTTCCACATTGTTGCACGCACTGTTTTGAGCTGGGGAAGGTGCAGACATGGTGAAGTGGATGGATCAGAATGACAAGGACCTTTGGCAAGCCTGCTAAGCCCGCTAAGCCCACTACTGGCTCGGCCAGACATCGTGAGCGGTCGCTTCTTCACTGTCATTTGGGTTTTCTATGTGTCGGTGTGCCAAGCAAGGGTATTTGGCAAGTCTTCTGCAGAGATTCGGGGGTGCAGCTGTAGGGCTTCAAACAGTTCACACAAAGAGGAACGCACAGCAGTAATGTCAAGTGGCAATCAGGCTGGGCACCGCACTTCTGTCAACGGTTCAGGGATGGAATGCAATGAATCCAATGTTTTATCCAACAGACCAAACGGAATTCCACAATATTATCACAATATTCAAAAATCCCCGCTCCTCTTCTTCGCAAGGAGTCCTTCTCTTTATGCTTCTTGGAGCTTTCGGGTTGCAATCTCACGGATGAAGGCTTTCAGCTTTTGGCCTGGACACCGAGAACAGAGGGAAAACGGGGGGCCACTGGGTAGTGTTGAGGATGTCACTGAAAGCCCAGGGGATAAACAGGCCTGCTTGTAGACTCTTTGATGACCACATTGTCTTTTAAAGGGCGTTGGCGCTCAGCACAAGCCGAGCGTCCTAGTAGCGTCCTTGCTAAGGCCAGGAGCCCCTAGTAGCGCCCTTGCTCCTAGTACCGATGCCCTTTGCTCCTAGTAGCGTCCTTTGCTCCTCAAGATATAATTACCTGATAAGTGTTTGTGCCCCATAGTGGAGCGACAGTCAGGTGCCCATCATGGGATCTCTTCGATACCTCGGCAGTGGGCTCAGAGTGGCCAACGTGAAGTCATATGGCCGACGCATACAGGACAAGTCTTCAAGGTTGGAGGCCATCGCTATTAGGTTGGAAGCCTTTGCTATTAGGTT